GCAAATATTTCCGAAATAATGGATTTTTGTTCTATGAGAACCGAATATGCATCCTTAACTCTTCATTGCGAGATTTGCTTGTCAGGGAAGCACACGGTGGGGCTTTAATGGGACATTTTGGCGTGGCCAAGACCCTTCACATCTTGCAGGACCACTTCTTTTGGCCTCATATGAAAAGCGATGTGGAACGGATCTGCAGCCGGTGTACAACTTGTAAGTTTGCCAAGTCCAAAGGCCAAAGTCAAGGTCTGTATTCCCCTTTACCCATTCCTACCGAACCATGGACGGACATTTCGATGGATTTTGTTTTAGGTTTGCCTAGGACTCGGAAAGGAAGTGATTCGGTCTTTGTTGTGGTAGATAGGTTTTCAAAAATGGCCCATTTCATACCTTGTCATAAAACCGATGATGCATCGAACATAGCAGATTTGTTCTTTAGGGAGATTGTTCGATTGCATGGAGTGCCGAGGACCATAGTCTCAGATAGGAATACAAAGTTCTTGAGTTATTTCTGGAAAACTCTTTGGTCTAAGTTAGGAACAAAACTTTGTTTTTCCACTACTTGTCATCCGCAATCAGATGGTCAGGCCGAGGTGGTCAATAGGACTCTTTCCACCCTTTTGCATGCTGTGATTAGGAAGAACATTAAGTCTTGGCAAGATTGCTTGCCTCATGTAGAATTTGCTTATAATCATGCTGTGCATTCTACGACCTTATTCTCACCATTTCAGCTCGTTTATAATTTTAATCCACTTACACCTCTTGATCTAACTCCTTTACCTATGAGTGAGCGTGTAAGTATGTATGGTAAGAAAAAGGCCGAGCTGGTCAAGCAGATGCACGTAAAGGCAAAGCAGAACATTGAACGCAAGACGGAGCTGTACCGAAAGCATGCAAACAAGGGCCGGAGCGAGAAAATTTTTGAACCAGGCGACCTTGTGTGGATCTACTTGAAAAAGGAACGATTTCCAGAAGAAAGAAAGTTCAAACTCTTGCCAAAACTCTTCACTGTCTTGGAGCGGATCAACAACAATGCCTACAAGATTGATCTCCAAGGTAAGTATGTCGTGAGTTCTAGTTTTAATGTGGCTGACATTATCCCTTTTGTTTCAGATGGACCAGACTTGAGGACAAGTTTTTTTCAAGAGGGGGGGATGATGTGATCATGGACCCAGAGGCACAAGTGGAGGTTCCAGAATCAGCCTTAGTCGTTCCGGAGGGTCCTTTAACGCGGTCCAAGACCCGGAAGCTTGCTGGAGCTGTTCGGAGTTTGCTTGAGGGAATCAGGAACATGGAGGTTCATGGCCGGGTCAATGAAGATCAACTTACACTTGTTATTTTGACCTCAGTATCGTACCAGGAATTGGATTGAGGTTTGGCCGGCGTGTAAGTTCATGGTACTCTTTTTCTTGTGCTCGGTTTTGTCCCAATGGGTTTTTCAGGTAGAGGTTTTAACGAGGCTATGGGCTTACATTCCTTTCCCGGCCCAAACTCATGAAGAATTCTAAGAGTCATCTCGGCTGGCAGTCCAAGAGTCAGTCAACGTAGTCAAGGCAGCCGAGAAGTCAGTCCAAGCTTTATTTATTTTGGTCTTAGCTTCATTTAATAAAATTTGTCTTTACCGAGTATGGCTTTTCGCCTGCTCCTTCCCCTATATAAACGATGTAGAGATCCCAGATCTCATTCATTCACTTTTTCCTTAATAAAAATTTAGAGAATTCTCTCTTTTGTTCTTCGTGAACTTTTTCTGATTACTTGGTGGTTAGCCATTTGATCATCTTTGGTTTATCAAGTGTCGTTCATTACACTTGACGCAGCCTTCACCCAGTTGTCTCGTTGGGACGTTCAAGTAGTTAAAGGGGCTTAAGGATTTTCGGGAACTTAGTTCTCACGCCTTAACATCCTTTTTCCGCGGATCCAATCAGCCAGCTTAGTCACCCCCTTGTTTCAAGCCTTTCACCGCGAGTTTGGGCTTAAGGATCTTTAGGTTTCAACCCACCCCTTAGCATCTTCTCCGTAAATCCGTTTGGAGTCAAAGATCTATCAGCCAAATCCGATCAAGAGTGTGATTTCTTTGAGAAGATCGTATCATAACCTTTGTTGCTTCCTTACTTTTCTAAGCTTTTTCATTGACTGCATGATCTCTTGTACAGGTTATTACAGTTTGACTAACCAAATAAGTAATCAAAGTGTATAACAATAGTACAATACGTATAAAGAAAAAATCAAATAAGAAGATAAAAAAAAAACCACAACTTTATAAATATGCCAACAAAGAAAATAAGAGAAAAAAATTGTAAATATTTTAACTTAAAAATGCCCGACTTTTCACCAAAATTAAAATTCGTCAAAATATGGTCAAAAAGTCCCAAAATTTTTCTGATCAACATGAAATGGCTACGTACAATTATAACGTCTCTATTAGTGGTCAATAATTAGACAATAATGTTTAACTAATTTTCTTCCGTTAAATTTCAGCATAAATTTTCGACCAGTGACCATTTCAATCAACGGTCACAAAATTATCAAAACTTGTTGACCAAATATAAATCATACATTTTCGTCAAAAATGTTCGACTAATTATCGAGCAATTCAATATTAATCGTTTATTCATCGAAATTTTGTTGATATATTTTTTGACCAAAAATAATTTGGTCAAAATTTGACCTGTACTCTTGTAGTGTAGTGTAGGTAGCTCTAGTTTAGAAATAAAAGGCCTTTTACCAGCTTTCCGTAGCTTGTTTCTAAAGACAAGTGAACTTTCTACCGGAGTTTGCTTTGCATCTGATGGTTCAGGATTAGATAAAGTTACTGCATCTATATGGTAAATACATGTTAATTCTTAGAGAAATATCCTAAAAAAATAACATAAAATATTAGTTTTTGTTTCAAACCTAGCACACTAAGTTTAAAATATCAAAACTAACATAAATTATACTGTAAAAAGTACTTGTTTACCCTAAATGAACTACTTACGAGACTAAAACATTATTTTTGGGTTCCTTTTCCAGTTTAAGGTTTATTTTTCTCTCATTACTAAGGAGTTTTGAATCATTTTGATATTGAATTTGTGCATCATTGGAAACATAAACTAGTGGTGTGTTTGGAACAGAAAAACATTAAAATGTGCTATTATTGGAAACTTAAACTAGTGATGCTACGATTAAATTTACTTTCAATATATTAGGAAAACAAAAACTAATGCTCTGATAAAATTGTGCCTATAGGACTTAATTGAGAAAACGTATTACAGGAGGTTATATGGGTAGAAGATCAAGTTAAAGACTTCCAAAAATACATAGAAAAATTAAATGAAATAAGTTGGAGATGCTGCTCAAGTCAAAGATATTATAGCCAATGCAGTGATTCTAATCTTATCTGGAAATGACGATATTTTCATCACATATTTTGCAACTCCGGCTAGGAGACCGAGTATTAGTATGGAAACATACACTGATATGTTAACAGAAACCATATGATTTCAGAGCAAGAAAATTTGCGGTTCTTGGACCGTTGCCTTTAGGGTGTTTACCAGAAACCGAAACAAGTGGCCGGAGATTTTATCATTTTATGTCTCCCGACTTTTACCTATGGGCTATGGTGCTAAAATATATAGTCAAAAGATATCAAACTTGGTCGATAGATTCAGCCAAAATCGCCCTGATGCCAAATTCGTATTCTTGATGTCATCAATAATCCTAGCCAATATGGTAAATTGGTCTTACCTTAGGCTAATTTTTCAATATCTATGGTTTGTAGATAAAACCAAGGGTGCAGTAATGAATTTTTAATGAATTTCAGGGTTTACAACGGCAAAACCATGTTTTTGCTCGTTGATGACTCAGATTCCATGCATAAATTCAGCTAGTCATGTGTTCTGGGACTTCGGCCATTCTTCTGAAAAAGCGTATTTAACTGTTCTACCTGATGTTCTCACTGAAATCCTCAATCTGGTTAGACCTGGTTCTAGGCGATGAGCCACTCGTAGGGCCCTATGGTTCAGTTTGGTTCATGTTACCCATCAACTAATCAACCATTGATATTTGTAAGTTTGTGAGATCTTTTTTGGTCGACGAGGAGAAGAAAGTCCTCGTGAGTGGTGAGGTATGGAGCGGTTGGGGAAGATAATAAAGTCAGAGTAGTGGATGTTGGAAAAATGACTTGTTGCCCACGTTTGTTTAATTATGTTCCAAGTCTGATTTAAATCCAGTGACGTGGAGGCCAAAGAAAAAGAGGTGACTATATTAGCTACATGCAACCTTGAGTTTTCCTTGATTCCTGGGTCTTTTTCCTTTCTTTCTTTTTTGTCTTTCTGATTTATCTTGGTCATGTCCCAATAAATTATCAGATGTTTCACTGTCTAGTCTTTGCTTAAACTAAGCTTTTTCAAGTTTTGTGATCAAAATCAAATTTCTTTAATCTCGTATAGAGAGAGGAATCTAATAACAGATGTTTAAAGAAAGAGAGAGTTTTATACTTGAGACTTGAGAGACAATGATCTCACCATACGGTTTCCTCATTTACAGTGACCTCCGTAAGTCCGTAGCGTTATAACAATATTTACAAAGTATGATGCAACATAAATGAAAATCATTAATATGTCATTGGAGAAAAGAGACGAGCCTGAATATTTCATTGGAAGTAAAATCGTAAATGTTGATAAGACACAAAACACACACTCACTCAATATTTACACATCTCCGTATCCCTCCCAAAACTTTATACACAAGAAGTTACATATCTGTTTCTGTATTAAACAAGGGAGTGACTCAAAAGCTCCGGCATAAGTGTATCTAATACTATTTCCATCAAGTCACAAACCTGAATCTTCTTTTCTTCTTCATTAGCTAATCGCCGTATGCCAGCTGCTTTGGTAACCTAACCAGAGAAACAAAGTTTCCTCTTTTTCTAATCTAAAAGACTAAATCCAAAGCCACTGTCTTGCCTGCTGATGAACTAAATGGAAAATTTTCTAACTTACTGTCAAAGAATGGGTAAATTTCCCGAACTAGGAGCCGCAACATGTGGTTTCCGATTCCCAGGACTGCCAAAGGCAACTCAAGGAGGTCGAGAGAGAGAAGAGAACAAGAACCTTTGTGTATGCAGTTGTGTTTTAATCCTCATTGTACACGCCTTTCTTAAGTTTCTCGTTTTCTGCTTCCTTCTGTGCTCTCTTCTTCTCAAACTCAACTTGCTTACAGTTTTCCTCGTGTGACCGCACAAATATTCTAACAAAGTTTTGCAGAGTGGAGACAACTGCAGAGTTCAGAATCAAACACAATGTTTCTCATAGTCAAGCCAGGGACAGAAAGGATACAACTCCAAAACCCAAATGGAGAAAACAAGAAATCAGAAGAAAAGAAACCAAGTTGGTTTTGGAGTTTTCATCGAAATGTTACCTTGCTCAAATGGAACACGAGCTGGATCCTCTCCAAAATATAACGCCAAAGCATCGGCGCTTCCACCCTACGACATCCATGAGAAAATATCCGATTAATAGCGTCAAGCTTCTTTAACTGTCGAAAGTAAAGTGCTTCAGGAAAGCAATTAAGAAGGCAGCCCTACCACAGTTGAATAAAGAGAGGCCAAGGACCTAACTTCTCCTTCAGCAAAACTAAGAAACTCTTTCAAGTTCTGCATAAATAAGTACAGGGTAAGGCAGATGATAAAACAAGAGCAAGCACTAGCTAAAAAAAGCTTCTCAAATATCTAATTTAGCTTACCATACGAAAGTGTTTTGATACTGGACCATCAGTTTCAGATGCAGTCAATTCCTGTACAACTTTCTCCAACCCTTTGCTAATTGCTTGCATCTCCTCTGCCAGATATTTTAGTTGAATCTGCAATCAAAGAATATTGTCAGAGCAATTACCAAAGGACGAAGAGTCGAAGAGGTGTTATTTAAAGAAAAGCGAAACTACCTTTGTTGCCGCCTCCAAGCTCACCAGGTCCTTCGGAAAATCAAGTAGCTCTGGAAGCTTTTCGGCGAGCACCTGTACATACGTGCATGAGAAACGTTTTTGAGAGAATTTAGCATAACATACAAACATGTCAAGAATATAGTGTACCAGTCAAGAACGAAAAAAAATATAAAAAAAATAAAAAAATAGAGAAAGGGTGGGAAACGATTGAAAAATCTCCTACCTTACAGAGATAGTGCATCAGAGTCATCTTACTGTTGCGGGATCTAGTGTCAGTGAGTTTCAGAAGACTATCCAAGCGAAATCCGATAGCTGAGCCTGTGAAAAGAGAAGAAATATATCAAAGACAATGCAGATGGAGAATTCAAATTCTTGAATAGAACCAATGTCTCTCTTTAAGAGTAACACTATATGGCAGTGTAAAGGAAATAGATATATGCTCACCCCTTGCAGTTCCGTGGTTCAAGGCATTGCCCAAGGAAAGTATAGTTTGCATAATTCTTTTAAGTTTAGCCGAGCCTCTAACCTGGAAAGTGTAACATGTGACAGAGTCAGAGTGGAAAATCAGCAACATGAATCTGTGTGGCTCACAAACTATTTGCACAAAAAATCGACTTGCCTCATTGGCTGCACTATGTATGATATTCAAACCTCGTCTCAGATCAGTAACCTGAAGGAAAACAATCATTTACATAAATAAGATCCTAGAGTTTAGAAACTAGAAAGCATTACAAACATACAAACTCCAGTCGATTTACCTGGGAGTGGAACTGAATCTTGTATGAAAAAACCCTTAGCTTGGTCTCCACTCGAGGAACTTTCAGCAATTCTAGAAAGAACTATCACAAGAAAAGTCAGAAATAGCTGTCAGTACGGAATTAAGAAAAGAAAGTCAATTGTGATGAAGGTATCACTCCCAGCTTGAAAACAGTAAGTTAAATGCTATTTGTTTCTTGGCCTAACAAAACTACCAGGAAATCAGTAAGTTAGGTATAGTTCAGGATATTTATGCACATCTATAGCATTGTTCATTTGTATCTTGTTTTGTTCGTTGGTCTGTTTAAAATTAATTTGCTTGGTAGGAATAATGGTTGGTCAGTAAGAAAGACAGATTGTTCAAATATGAATGTGGAGGCACCGAACGAACCTGCTCACACCGTCCCAAATTTTCCTTATTTCCAGTGTAACCCTACGGAAAGCAAGAATACCAGGACAGGAGATGTAGCATCAGTGTACTGACAAAAGAAGCTATTGTCGGATGATAATAACTGATAAATATTAGTGATACAGAAGCAGAAAGGTTTTAGATAAGAACCAGAAATAAAAATACCTTGAGCAATTCTGTTTCTTCTTTTGTTGGACAAAACTTGATAAGATTGTCAACTTGATCAACATCTATCACCGACTCATCCAATGCAAGAACAGAACTCTGTAACCGAAGACCATTCATGTGAGAAAAAATGGTTTAAACAGCTCTTGCAAAACAACATGTGGGAGCTTTAAGATAGAGACCAAGTCAAGAACTTGCCGAGCAATATCTTGCAAGAAAACTCTATGTGCTTACCATCAAATCAGGCAAAGGTATTTTAACTTTAGAAAGCATGATCTCACAGTTGTATGCTCGTCTGAGCTCAATCTGCAAAACTAATAGCCAAAGTTAGATGACAAAAACACAGTAACTGTTAGCTATATTCTAACAGATGTATCAATGGATCTTTATTGCATGCTCAACTTGGAAAATATAAGATTTAAGAAGTTCGAGAACAGCAGAATACTCATTGCAATCAATTACCAGCTGCACTTTCTCAACTTTAGGTCGGGCACGTCGACCTGATTTGCCACTTTTACTTTCATTGTCAGGGCTAGGATTGGCTGCTGAGAAGAGTTTCTCAAGCTCAGAGATGTCAAAATCTGGAGCACTAGAATTGGAGAAATACAATTAGAAGAACCTGAAGAAAGAAAATCAAAAACATATATAAAAGGAAAATCAAAGATATAGTCATACGTAGCCGCTTCATCAGGTTTCTGCGCATCAGCCCATAAACTTCCTTGCACTGCCCTAGTAAGCTTCAACCAATGATACGGTTTCAAGTTGGCCTTTCTCGTTTGACCCTGACCTCTAAGATTCATCTGTGAAAGCCCACGCCCCTTTAAACCCAATGGTGGTCCAGGGACTGGAGGTATATTTCCATTACAACCACCGTTATGAGAACGAGACAGAGGTGCAGGTGCTGGCGGAGGAGGAACAGGAGGGGATTTTATACTTGGTGGGCATGTTCGAAGTGATAGAGAATTAGAACGCAAAGGTGGTGGTGGTGGAGGTGGAGGGTTAGTTGTGCCCACTAATTTCTTTGGTGGTGGCAGAGGAAAAGATGACTGTGCAGAACGTTGTGGTGGAGGTAGAGGCGGAGGAGGTGGAGGCGGAGGTGGCCCTTGTGTTGCTTGGAGACTGGTGCTGGAACCTGGTGAAAGAGTGGAACGCAAAGAGGATACGGGAGGTGGGGGTGGAGGAGGAAGAGACGAAATCTTAAGTGGCTTCAACAGTCGTAATGCTGGTGGCATCACTGCTGCTTCTACTGGAGGACCATTTGTAAGAACAGGCGTGGATGACTGTTGTGGAGCAGCTTTGGGTAGTGATGTTGTGGAGCAGCTTTGGGTAGTGATGGTTTCAGTGGATGCAATGTTGGTAGAAACGAGATTGACGGTGAGCTTGGTGATGATGAAGTAGACTCTTCACCTTTACACGTACCATGATCATGTAATATCGAAGTGATCCCAAGGCTAGAGGGGGAGCTGTGAAATCTTGATACTGAAGCGGGTGATCCTTGTGTGGGGCTACGATTTAAAACTGGTGAAGTTACTGGACTTTGGACCACTCGAGGTGAAATTATCTTTGAATGAGCTTTTCTTTGGACTGAAACTCGAAGTTCATGCGGTTCATCAACCTTCTTAATGAGTGAATTCGGATCTGCATAAGATCTATGACAGGAGACTGTATATTTCTCTTTCCACTCAGAAGAGAATGCATCAGGACTTACAGCAACATTTTCCGATATCATCAACTTGGTTTTCTCCCTAACTTTCTCAAGTGCAGATTCCAATAAGCTACGTGAATCAGGGCTTCGAGGAGAACTTGAATCCAAGCTTTCTTGAAGGATATTTGCTGCTGTTATTTGGTTAAAAACAGTCACAGCAACATCAGAATTTGGATCTAACCATTCACCATCACTAAAAATCTCCTGAACCTTAGCAAATGCTTCCATAGGTAGACCATCTTTTTCCTCCATGTGCGGCAAATCAACACAGACAAGATTGTTACCGGCATCCATCTCCGAAAAGGTAACCTGAACAAACACACATAATGTTACTCCTTTCTTGACTTAGAAAGATAATTATTATGTATCACATAAAATGCTTCCAACAGATATGCTAGTCTCAGACTGAACTCGCTAGAATTGATCTTTAACAGCTTGGAAAATAAGGTGAGACCTCTAATTGGTTTTCCAAATGTATATTCACCAAAACTCGTATAAGTATCAAAGAAATATAAGGTAAATAGTCACCTCCACTCTGAAATCCTTGGGAAACCGATCCGTTGTGTTCCACAGTACATCAACCTCATCACGGTCAAGTATTAGAATGTTTGATCTAAGAAATGCAGTATTGAACACAGCCCGAAACATCATCTCTTCCCTCTCATGATCACTATCTAGAGTAATGCACTCAAGCACAACATCACCGAGAATATGGCAATGAATGTCAATCTTTACCAGCTCACAATCTGCCTGCAACAGTAGACGAAAAGTTAGGACTCTCATAAAACGCTATGATACTGAGAAGAGAGTGAATGAACAAACACATGTCTGAGGAGAAATTCTTGGTCTCACCTGCTTGTAATGCCGGACAGCTTTGCTTCTTTTGGGCATCGAGAAAAGAACTTTCGAAGATCTATCAGAAGCCATAAAAGGATCTTGACCATATATTCTAAATATGGGTCGGCAACCACCCTCACCATCAAAATCAGGAATCAGTCTAAGATTGATACAGTCTAATGTAAGGGCACGATCTAGCGGTGGCCACTCTGACCCAACATTCCTACTCGAAATATACTTAAGAAACCTCATTTGTGAAGGCAGAGGATTTAGTGGAGACATTAGCTGTAACAACTCACGAGGAGCCTGCTTATATATCATCTCTAAAGTTTTCTTTTCTCCACTAAACTGTTTGCGGTATAACAAGAGCGAAGCAAGCATAAAAGCTAAAACCGGCCAGCCACCCCTCTCACAGTGCGACAATAAGATGTTCTGTTGACTTAACAATAACCAATTTTCACTTGATTTGAGAAAGTGATGGACCGTTTCCATTGTAAGCAAAGGGCAACCTTCGTAATGACGAGGATAGTCCATGATGGTCATGTCATACTCAGAGAGTACACTTTCCATCAAGCTTGTGCTTTCTCCTTCCCGGAAATTAAACACCATGAACGATGCACCAGGAAACTGTTCTCGCAGCTGACTCATTACGCGTCCCACATAGACTCTGTACTCTTCATCTTCCAACATATCCGTGGTTAAGCAGCAATCAAAGACTGGAAATATAAAACATCATAAATCATCAGACTTCTACACAGATCTTCTATATCATTGTCCCTAAAAAGGTCTATTATTCAAGACCAAGGGACACGACGATAGAACGAAGTTGAGAAATCATACAAATCAATGAACATACACAAGAAACTGTTTTCCTAACAAATCTTTAAGAATTAACTTTACAGAATCCATGAGCTAAGTCTCAACATTCAAGAATGACACATCTTAAGCTATCATAGCTGAATTAATCAGACCAATGAGCTTGATAAGAACTAGGAACTAAAACAGGACATTAACACATTCAACTTAGGCTGCCATAACCAGAAAAGCTCTGATTGACCCAAAGACTCAAACTTGCTAAGAACCCAACACTTAGATTGGGAGCTGAAGAGAGCATTTAAAGAACGAAAACAGGACATTAACACTTTCAACTTAGGTTGTTATAACTTGCAAAAGGTTCTGATTTTTCAGACCCAAAGACTCAAACTTTCTAAGAACCCAACACTTAACACGCAGAGACTCGGGAGCTGAAAGAGAGCATGTAAAGAATAAAGAGCTTACCGTAAACCCTCTCTGAGATCTCCACTAACCCTTCAGGAGGCTTTCTGTAGAAGAACTTTCTAAACAACGCCATTGAGAGATTTTCCTTTAAATGCTTACCAAAAAGCAAAACCACAAACCCTTAGAGATAATCACCACCGCTACCAATCCGAACCCACATTGCAGGAGAGGGTGAAATAATAAACCCAAATCACAAGATAACAAAAAAGAGAAAAATGTCAGGAGGAAGAAGGAAAAAGCGTGAAATTATCTGCTTGCTGGGTCTTTAAGGAACAATAGGGTGTGTGTGTGTTTTGTTTCTTTGTAGTTTGGTGGTTTGTCTTGACATACACACTTTGAATTTCTTCCGTTTCGGAATTGAAAAGAAAACTTAGCTTTCAATCAAAACAGATGGTGATAGCTTTTGCACATGCGAAGAAGAAGAAGAAGAATGATGCAGAGAGAGAGAGAGTTAGGTTATTATGTAGAAAGAGAAACTTAGGGTTTCTTTCTTTTTCTAATTTAAGAGCAAGAAGATGATAGCTATGGCGAATTTGAGACAGAAATTGAGGATGTCTGATTTTGGATAGCAGAGAAAAGAAAAGATTAGGAGGACCCAAAGGATCTGTTACTTTCTTAGGACTATGATACATGTCTTCAATATTCTTTTTTCAGTTATTTAAGATTTTTGCTTTCTTTACTTTCCTAAAAACGGAAATAAAATTATTATTTTTCTTGCAAATGACTTCATTTAAAAATTAGACTAATCTTTGAATAAGTACACACAAGATATCTTTTGGAGAATTAGGGATATGAGTTTCCTCATTCAGGTCGAGGTAATTCCAAGTTTCGCGTAATCCTCGGCTTTATCAAGCATCAACGCACACTCTTTTGAAACTTCTTCGAGCAGGTTGCGCTCATCATTTGTGGTTGTGATGATGATTTTTAAAGGATTGTTAAGAAGGATTTTTTTTATAAACTCCCTCAGTGATCTCATCAATCCAGCAAAGTCTTCCATATAAAGTTGGTTTTCTAAGAGCTTTGTTCATATCGAACTGCATAACCAGACTGCCTAGATGCAAGTCTCTTTTTCCTTCTGGGACATTTATTATCGCCCATGCAGTTGACAAAAATGGTCTACCGAGAATGAGAGGATCCTTGGATTCCCTTTCTAATTCAAGCATTACGAAATCAGTCGGAATACAGTTTTCTCCTATCATGACTAATACATCAAACAGAACTCCTTCCGGCTGTCTAACTGATCGATGAGCAAGAATCAGTGAGATTTTTGTGGGCTGGAAAGTATAATATCCCAAACGTTTTGCAACTGCGAGTGGCATCATGTTGATGCTTGATCCCAAATCTTAGAGAGATCGTTTGAAAGTCATATTCCTGACTGTGCAAGAGAGGACAAAACTTCCAGGATCTTCTTTCTTTTGAGGGATATGGTTTTGTAGGATGGAAGTACATTCATGAGTTATCATCATAACACCTTCTTCTAATTCTAGAGAATTTGTTAAAATGACCTTCATGTACTTCCTAAGAGCAGGTATCATTGCACAAGATTCAAGAAAAGGCAATCTCACAGTTAACTGCTCTATTAGCTCTTTAGCTTAGCCTTTTCTTTATCCTTCTTTTGTCATTTCATGGCTCATGGGTATGGTGGTTTGGGCTTGTAGACGCGAGTCAATGAAGATGGCATAGGGTCTTCTCCAAGAATCCCTTGAGAAACATCCTCCTTTTCTTTTTCTCCATCTTTCCTGACTATTATATCTTCCTCATTATCAGCCATAGCTTTTTCTCTCTTTTTCTCGTCAGGATCTTTTGGGTACTCTGGTTCCTTGAAAGCTAAACCACTCCTGAGGGTGATTGCTTTTAAATGATCAGAGGCTTCCAATTCATCCATGTCTTCAGAAAAAGGTTCGTCAAGATCATTAACAGAAAAATCCGTCTCCTTTGACCCGTTTCTAATCATAAAAAGAATGGTTGAGATATTGCTTTGAATATCATCAATCCTCTTTTTCAATTCTCCAAAGTCCATGTCATGCTTTGCATTCATCCTTTCAGAAACTTCATGAATCTCTTTTTCAAGTTTTTCAACTTTGGAAAAAGAGAGATAGGAAGCGAATACTGAGCTAGGTTGATCAGATTAAGTTTGCTCAAAGGAAGGCTGGGAAAGAGGCTGAAAAGGGGGGGATGGGGTGGCCGCGGTTGAAGTCTTTGCACCCGCGGTGGGGATTCTCGAGGCCGCGGTTGAAAGCATCGCACCCGTGGTAAAAGTTACCTGGGCCGCGGTTGAGAGACTCCCACCCCTGGTGTGGTTGGTTCCGATCAACTCTTTCAATTAGGTAAACTTCAGCAGTTTTCATTATCTCCTGGGTTTGGAAGTTCTTCACTCCATGGTTGTTCATCTTATAATTGCAATGCTCAACATGGTTACTCCGACCATCTAAGTTATGCATCGAGCAAGACTTATCAGGGTGTATTCCAAAATAATCCAGTATATGATTCATGCATTTCTCAAGATATTTGTAGTTTTCCCCCGAAATCGAATATGCGTGTGTATGACTAGCCAACTCTCGCCACCTAATCAACAAATCACTCAATTTGGACATTAACTCTCGCTCTCATGCCATGGATAAGATCATGCATTAATAACAGAATTCATCTACGCTCGCGATTCTCTATAGGTAGCATTCGTCTCCTATAGCAACTTCACTCGATCACTTCTAGGTCTGGTAATTCGATACAACACTCTCGTTGCTCCACTTACTGAGATCAGTTTCTAAGCGGCTAGCAACAAAAACAACATAGGGAACACGAATGAACGAAAGACTCTTAGAAGATTATAAACCCTAAATCTAACAAAGTATAAGATCAAATCATTAAATTCCCTTTGAAAAATCCCTAAAAACCCAATTGGGAAACTACTCAGATATAGTAGAAGTTAACATCATAGAATTATTTTGAGTTGCAGAGAATTGAAATAAACAAAGTAAATGAAGAACAGAGTGAAGAAGGAGAGCCGATGGTGCCCCTCTCGGTGGCTCCTCTTCACGGACGAGTCTCTCTAGGTTTCCTAACAAAATGTGGCACCCCTTTCCAAATGACTTAAAAGAGGTATATATAGTATCTTGAGTCTTCAGCTACGCCTAGGGTTTGCAGGAATAATGATGGGAATGACATTTGCTTTAAAATGGGCTTCTGAGGCTCGGAAATAGGCTCCCGCGGTCAAAATTGTCGCAATCGCCGTGGATGATGTTTTGGCCACGGGTCAATTTCCAAATGAGTTGATTCGCCTTCAGTGCATCGACTATATCTGGAAATCTAACCGTTGGATTGCTTTGATTCTAACTGAATTGGAAAACTGGTATTTTTTAGAGTTTTCTTTCTGGGTCAACACCCGGTTAGATACAAATGTGGTGCGCCTCTCAGAACAGCCGTCTGGGAAGCCTTGCTGTCCTCGGATGCAGATAGACTCTTCACCAAAGATGGAGCTTATTGAGCTGCCTTTTTCCTTGAGCTGGAAAATTTAGTTCCGGATCACTGAACAGAATGTTATGGAGGTTTAAGTGCGAAGACGTCCTTGTCTACACCGAGATGAACACTGGGAATATTGTGGTCGGAGTAAGCTATATCTTGAGGATTGTCTGCTTTTAACATGACACCAAGGTCTAAACCGGGATGTTTCATCTTGGAGAATCCGAACCTTACACCAATCTACATCAGATCCACACCAACCAAGTTCATCCCGATACTATGCCCGGTGTAATTCTCAACGTTTTTTTACACCGGGATGAACATCGCCCAAAAGCACGCCGGTGCAATTTCCTTCGGTTCAGGACTATTCTCCACTCCGAGCAACCTAATTGAGATGTGTTCTCCGGTGTAAGTCTCAGCGCTTTTCACACCGGGCACAACATCGACAAAATGATGCCCGGTGCATTCTCTATCGCCTATACAAGTTTCTTCACTCCGGCTTGGACATCGGCCAAACACAGCCTAGAGTCAGATTAAACTTCCAAGACAACTTCAGGACACATAAACACAAGCCACGACATCGACCAAATGATGCCTGATGTAAATGTGTCAGCGTTTTTTTTTAGATTTTTCTTTCCGGGTCAACACCCGGTTTGTCCCGGGTTGATGCTGAACTTAGGGAATCATTATAAATACATTTTAGGGTTTTACCCTTTGGATTATCCTTTATTCCTAGACCTTTTTTGCCTCTTTTTTGCTAAGAACCCTTTGAGAGAGATATCTCTTTTTGATCTTAATCCAAGAGAGTTTTTAAGAGTTTAATCATCTATCTATCTTCATTCCATCATCTCCCATTCATCTTATCTCTTTAATCATGTTTAACTTCTTTTCTTGCAAAGGAATCAGAGAGTTAATCATGATTAGTGAGTAGTCACCTCATTAGGGTTCTAGATATGTAGGTTAGGAAGCTTAGGTTTGATCAAGGTTGCTTAGGGCTAGATTTATGCATTTATGCCTTGCTTAGTTGATCTTAATTCTGGGTTTTAGATGATCTCTATAACCCAGATTTTTGGCATTTTATCCACCCAAAAGGTGTTTGATAAAATGCCTGGACCAACTAACTCAAGAGAACGATTGAATAAAACCGGTAAGGAAGTGTATCAGAAATCTTATCAAGCGTCACGATGCCTCAGAAAGCTCACTGTGAAAGGTAAAATTTCGTGCTCCCTTAGACTCTATATCAAAAGGCAGTTTCCCCTTTCAAAAAATTCTATTGATTTGAATAAGTGAAACCTTTAATGAATGTTAAGAGCTAGTTGACTGGAAGTTAGTTCTATGTGTGTGGAGTTTTGCATGACTGATTAACGGATTAGTTTTGTTTGTATTTTGGTGAAACCTTTCTAGACTTGATCTGATCGATGCATTGTCCCTAATTAAGGTCTAGAAGTATGGTTACTGATATTTTTGAGTTCCCTCTTATTTTTGTTGATGATATTTTTCCGGATTTGATCATGTTTTGTTTGAGGACAAAAAAAAGTCTAAGTCTGGGGGAGTTGATAACAACCTTATCTGTACCCATTTTCAGCATTGATTTCAAATGCTTTTTCAAAGGTTTTAATTAATTTTAGGAACTTTTATTATGATTTCTCTATGTTTGTAGTTTCAAGGCTCTTTTCAGGAAACTTAGAGAAAAAGATGGCAAAATGGAAGAAATCCACATTTTTAGCTCTGAATCAGAATGTCAGAAGTCCAGTCTCAAATGAAGACCTTCTCCCCGTCTGATGCAGCTCAACTTTGGAGACATTCAAGAGGAGACAAAAATCTTTCCATAGCACTTTACATCAGGACAATCCAACGGTGCAATCAAAAGATATATGAAGAGCAAGTTGATCAAATTCACCAGTCCCGAAAGACATTCACCCACGACAAACAAGTGTTTTACCTGCCCTTGAGTACTCTCACTTGCGGTGGACCTATGCCGAAGCACAAGGCCCAACATCAAAGCCTATTTCTTCATTTCTCTGCAGAGAAGCCCTAAATTAGACCAGGAAGACTTTACGACCTATAAATAAATTTCTTAGCAGTCCTAATCAGGTGTGTGCTTCTG